CCACCTGTCATACTTACATCACTATTAGACTTACATCACTATTAGACTTACATCACTGTTAGACCTACATCACTGTTAGACTTTCCTCACTGTCAGACTTACATCACTATTAGACTTACATCACTGTTAGACTTACATCACTGTTAGACATATATCAGTGTTAGACTTACATCATTGTTAGAATTTACATCACTGTTAGACTTACCTCACTGTTAGACTTACATCACTGTTAGACTTACATCACTGTTAGACTTGCATCACTGTTAGACATATATCAGTGTTAGACTTACATCACTGTTAGACCTACATCACTGTCATAGTTGCATCACTATTAGACTTACATCACTGTTAGACTTATATCACTGTCAGACTCACATCACTGTTAGACTCACATCACTATTAGACTTATCAGTTTTAGACTTATATAACTCTTAGACTTATATCACTGTTAGAATTATATCACTGTTCCTTAATTCACTGTCAGATTTCCATCAGTGTCAGTCTTACATCACTGTCAGACTTACGCCATTGCCAGACTTCATCACTGTTAGATTTGTATCACTGTCCTTTACATAACAGACAGATTTACGTCACTGTTAGACTTATGTCACTGTTAGACTTACATCACTGTTCCTTACAGAACTGTTAGACTTACATCACTGTCAGACTTATATCACTGTTCCTTACATCTATGTTCATTATATCACTGTTAGACTAACATCACTGTTAGACTTGCATAAATGATCCTTACATCACTGTCAGACTTGCATCACTGTTATAGTTACATTAATGTTCCTTACATCACTGTTAGTCTAACATCACTGATACACTTACATCACTGGTAGACTTCCATCATACTCAGACTTACATCACTGTCAGTTTTATATCACTGTTAGATTATGTATCAATGTTATACTTACATCATTGTTAAACTTATATCACTGTCAGGCTTACACCACTTTTCCTTACTATGCTGTTACTTATATCACTGTTAGACTTAAATCACTGTCAGACTTATATCACTGTTAGACTTAAATCACTGTTAGACTTATATCACTGGTGGACTTACATTACTGTTAGACTTACATCACTGTTAGACTTATATCACTGTTAGACTTAAATCACTGTTAGATTAAAATCACTGTTAGACTTATATCACTGTTAGACTTATATCACTGTTAGACTTATATCGCTGTTATATTATATCACTGTTAGACTTACATCACTGTTAGATTTATATCACTGTTAGACTTAAATCACTATTAAAGTCACATCACTGTTAGACTTATATCACTGTTACACTTACATCACTGTTACACTTACATCACACTCAGAGTTACATCACTGTTAGACTTATATCACTGTTAGACTTATATCACTGCTAGACTTAAATCACTGTTAAAGTTACATCACTGTTAGTCTTATATCACCATTAGACTTATATCACTTTTAGACTTACATCACTCTTCTTTACATTACTGTTACTTACATCCCTGTTAGATTTACATCAATGTTAGACTTACATCACTGTTAGCTTACATCACTATTAGACCTATATCACTGTTAGACCTATATCACTGTTAGACTTATATCACTGTTAGACTTACATCACTCTCAGACTTATATCACTGTCAGACTTATATCACTATCAGACTTATATCACTGTTTGACTTGTATCATTGTTGGACTTAAATCACTGTTAGACTTACGTCACTATCGGTTTTATATCACTGTCAGACTTATATCACTGTCAGACTTACATCACTGCCAGACTTCATCATTGTTAGACTTTTATCACTGTACCTTACATAACAGACATATTTACATCACTGTTAGATTTACGTCACTGCTAGACTTATATCACTGCTCCTTGCATCACTGTCAGACATATATCACTGTTCCTTACATCAATATTCCATACATCGCTGTTAGACTTACATTAATGTTCCTTACATCACTGTTAGACTAACATCGCTGTTAGACTTACATCACTGCTCCTTGCATCACTGTCAGACTTACATCACTGGTAGATTTATATGACTGTTAGGCTTACATCACTGTTAGATTTACATCACTGTTCCTTACATCACCGTCAGACTTATATTACTGTTCCTTACATCACTGTTCATTACATCACCGTCAGACTTATATCACTGTTCCTTATATCACAGTCAGACTTATATCACTGTTCCTCACACCACTGTTAAACTTATATCACTGTTAGACTTGCATCACTGTTCCTTACATCACCGTCAGACTTATATCACTGTTCCTCACATCACTGTCAGACTTATTTCACTGTTCCTTACATCACTGTCAGACTTATATCACTGTTAGACTTGCATCACTGTTCCTTACATCACCGTCAGACTTATATCACTGTTCCATCACTGTCAGACTTATATCACTGTTCCTTACATCACAGTCAGACTTATATCACTGTTCCTCACATCACTGTCAGACTTATTTCACTGTTCCTTACATCACTGTCAGACTTATTTCACTGTTCCTTACATCACTGTGAGACTTGCATCACTGTCAGACTTACATCACTGTTCCTTACATCACTCTTCCTTACATCAGTGTAAAATTTGTATCACTGTTAAACTTATATCACTGTTAGACTTATATTACTGGTCCATTCATCACCGTCAGACTTACATCTCTGTGAGTCTTATACCACTGTTCCTTTCATCACTCAGACTTACATCACTTTTAGACATATATCACTGTTCCTAATCACTATTAGACTTCCATCACTGTCAGCCTTACATCACTGTCAGACTTATATCACTGGCATACTTATATCACTGTTAGACTTATATCATTGTTCCTTACATCACAGTCAGACTTACATAACTGTTTCTTATATCACTGTTACATTTACATCACTGTCAGACTTATATCACTGTTCCTAACATCACTGTTAGACTTACATCACTATCAAACTTACATCACTGTTTCTTACATCATTTACATTTACATCACTGTCAGGCTTACATCTCTGTCAGACATATATTGCTGTTCCTTACATCATTGTTAGACTTACATCACTGTTAGACTTACATCACAGTTCCTTACATCATTGTCAGACTTATATCACTGTCAGACTTATGTCACTGTTAACCTTATATCACTGTCAGACTTACATCACTGTTAGACTTAAATCACTGTTCCTTACATCATTGTTATAATTGTATCACTGTTAGCCTTATATCACTGTTCCTTACATCACTGTTAGACTTATATCACAATTCCTTACATCACTGTCAGACTTATATCACTGTATCATACATCACTGTCAGACTTATATCACTGTTCCTTACGTCACTGTCAAATTCATATCACTGTTCCTTCCATCACTGTCAGACTTATAGCACAGTTCCTTACATCACTGTCAGACTTATATCACTGTTCCTTACATCACTGTTAGACTTGTATCACTGTCCCTTACATCATTGCCTAGACTATTATCATTTTTAGATTTATATCACCATCAGACTTATATCACTGTTACTTATATTACTGTTTGTACATCACTGTTAGAGTTACATCAGTTTCAGACTTACATCACTGTTAGACTTACATTACAGTTAGTGTTATATCACTGTTAGCATTACTTCACAGTTAGAATAACATCACTGTTATACTTACAAAAGATTCAGACTTAGATCACTGTTAGACTCACATCACTGTCAGACTTACATCACTGTTAGACTTACATCACTGCTAGCGTTACATCTGTGTTAGACATACATCACTGTTAGACTTACATCAGTTTTCGATTTACATCACTGTTAGACTTACATTACTGTTAGACTTGCATCAGTGTCACACTCACATCAGTATTAAACTTGCATCACTGTCAGACGTACATCACTGTTAGACTTACATCACTGTCATACTTACATTACTGGTAGATTTACATTACTGTTAAACTTATATCACGGCCAGACATACATCACTGCCAGACATACAGCACTACCAGACATACATCACTGCTAGACATACTTCACTGCCAGACATACATCACTGAAAGACATACTTCACTGCCAAACATACTTCACTGTCAGACATACAACACTGCCAGACATACATCACTGTCAGACATACAAATCCTGCCAGACATACAAATCCTGCCAGACATACATCACTACCAGATGTACGACAACACCCAGTAAGGCGTGACGTCAGTTGAAAATCAATAAAGATGTTTTTGTCGTTACTTCACTTCTGCTGAGTTATGCAGGAGTTCACTGCCTTACTGGTATATTTGTTGCTTTTTATTATTTTTTATTGTTTTTGTATACTGTTGTGCTTAGTTTTATTTAGGTTGTAGTTTCGTTCAGGTTTTTGTTGTTGTTTTTGTTCTGTTTTTGTTTGATGTTGTGTGGAGGCTAGTGCATTGTGTTGTTGTTATTGTGTGGAAGCTAGTGTAGTGTGTTGTTGTTGTTGTGTGGAGGCTAGTGTAGTGTGTTGTTGTTGTTGTGTGGAGGCTAGTGTATTGTGTTGTTGTTGTTGTGTGGAGGCTAGTGTAGTGTGTTGTTGTTGTGTAGGGGCTAGTGTA